TTGTTGCTTATAAAACCTACTTTGTCCTCCCCACCCTAAAATGAGGGTTTTGATGTTACTCTTGCCAACTAAGGAAGTGGACAAGGCCAAGCAACCTACATAAAAACACAGGAAAGCAAAGTCAACCCTATTATCTTATATGAAGAAGGAAACAAAAATTGGTATTCTAGTCTAAGACGACACAACAATTCAGTCTAAAGGACATTCATTCAATGGCCAACATATATAAGGCAACATTCTGTGTGCTATAAGGGGTATTACCAGGATTTAAAAAATGTAGTCCTATATGTTTGCTGAATTTATCAGGAGAAAATCAACAAGTATGCCAGTTTGTATACAGAGTTGAAAATGTCAAGTGGCATTATATATGTGTGTACGTGTATATAGGGACACTTAGGTTTAGAGTATAATTACTCATATGCTCACACCTTTTCGTATGGCTATTCTTGGCTTGTGGAAAGGTTTGGAAACAGCAAAGACCTACAGCGTCTTCCTTGCAAGCACCTGTGAGACCCTTTGACGGCAGAGAACCAGAGCTCCAGCATCCACACAAAAGCTGAACACTGGGCATCAGAGTTTCTTTTTTATTTACAGAGAATAAAGGACTTTCTAGGTGAGTTATATTTTTCCCATTTGAGAAATCGACTTCCGAATCGGTTTAAATATTTCACGCTTTTTGGAAGCACAAAGAATATATCAGTACCAAGTGCTTTGCTTGATATTGAAGTTACTTAACATTGGCATAACTGATATTTCAAATAAAGAATTTTTTCCTACCTAAAATATACTTATAAATAAGACATATAAAATAATTTATAGATGATAACCTAAGTTTTAAAGTAAGGAAATATTATTGCAACTTTAAAGACTGAATTAAACCAAGGGATAATCTAATTTCTTTGCTTTACAAGAGAAATCATTGTAGCTTTCTCCTTTTACATGATGCTATTATCTAAAGACCATCCACAAGCTCCTCTCCTTGGCCCCTGACTCATCAAACTCAGACCCTCGTGGGACCACAACTTTTTGCTCCAGGCCATTTTGTTTGCTTTTTTTTAATAGAAAGGGTGAAGACAAGAGGCTACAAGTGTAGGTGTTCAAGTATCAGATCTGGGCTAGAAGTCTACATATTGAAGACCCAGAAAGAACAGAAATATTCATGTTGCAAATCTTGACACAAAGAATGCTCTGGTCTGTTCCAACTAAACAATGCATTGAAAGTGGAGAGGGGAGTTTAGGACAGCTTTGATACTAACGGGGTACAACAGCTCATGTGCCACCATCTCATAGACACAAGAGGAGGATTCCCACTCATCCCAACCCTTACTCTTCAGGGGTAACGGGTGACCTGAGATCAGACCTGGTTCCTGCTGACTCTTAAAGGCCACTATGTCAACACCAGTCAGAATGGCAACCATAATGCCAGTGAAATCATATTCCTTAACCCCAGACAGAAAAAGAAAATTCAACAGAAACTTAAAGCATTATTTTTATTTAGACTTGTATCCATCTTCATAAAATATTTTCTTCTAACTGTGGAAAAATTCAGCAGGAGAACTGACCAGCAGCAGGTTAAACTGAAATATTATCGTATGCTGAAGGCCTTTCCTCACCCTGTTTGAAGCTTGCCTTTCAATAAAATTCTAACAGAAAGAACTCTTTCTCCAACCAGTCAGAAAGAGTCATACTTTACTGAAGAAGTTGAAAAAAACCTCCAGTTCCATACTGTCATTCATAAAAAATGACTTCCATATAGGCATCATCGTATTGCACATGGAGACTTTTTTGTAAAATGATATGCAGGACGTTAGTCAGACTTAGAAATACGAAAGCCAGACGTACACTACGGAACTAAAGTTGAAACGCTTCTCTGGTGGGGAAAATATTATTTCCCAAGATAATTATGTCTCCCTGTCACTCATGTTCCTTCATATATCAAACATTTTTTTTATGGTACAAAATACATTTTTTTTCTCCTTTTTTTTCCTGGAGTGTCAACAGAATTGAAATAAATTGTGATTTTTTTTTTTAAATTAAAAAGTCACTAAGTGAGCTGACAAGCAAGACTTATGAAACTAAAACAGATTAACTTAGTTCTTAGAGTTCGATTAAGATGTTTCTAAAGTACTTCAAAAATTATATTTAAATGTTCTAAATCGTATCCTAATAACCATTTTAAGCATGTACTTTGATAATATGACAAATGTTAACTGAAAGCCCCTCACACAGGCACTGTATTTCATTAGTAAGAAAGTCTTACTAAGCCAAGGAGTGAGTTAACTAAATTATGCCAAGAGATAGCAGGCAAAAGTTAAGATTTAAGAAAATAAGACCAAAAGTCAACCATTAGAGTTCAAGCGTCATACTTCAAGCTAACCAAGAGGCTGTTAAGCTCCTTGAAATTACTTGTTCCATAGACCTTAAAAAGCTAAACACATGTAACTTAAATATATTAAAATATTCATGTCCCCTATCACTATACGTTGCTAATTAGAGTATGAAATCAGGCATTACCACATCACTTCTGCCTGATGAGATAATTCTGGTGTTCTTAAGAGCATTATGCCAATACACTTTTTTTTGCCAGAAAATAATTTTACTTTTTATTTTGAAGAAAACATATTTGCAATGACCAGTCCCAGGTTTGCTGAATTTCAAAAATATAAAATAAAATATGGGCCTAGGCGTGGTGGCTCACACCTGTAATCCCAGCGCTTTGGGTGGCCGAGGCAGGCGGATCACCTGAGGTCAAGAGTTTGAGACCAACCTGGCCAACATGAGGAAACCCCGTTTCTACTAAAAGTACAAAAATTAGCCAGGCATGGTGGTGCATGTCTGTAATCCCAGCTACTTGGGTTGCTGAAGCAGGAGAATTGCTTGAGCCTGGGAGGTGGAGATTGCAGTCAGCTGAGATGGTGCCACTGCACTCCAACCTGGGTGACAGAGCAAGACCCTGTCTCTAAAACAAAATAAAATATTGAAATAAGTAAAAAATATCTTTTAAAATATTGTGCAAATCTAGGGCAAGTAAACAATTTCCAAAGACAGACTAAATAAATCTTTCATTTATACTTTTGTTAATATCCTTACATAAAATCAACTTTTGTAAGACTACAAGCTTAAACATTTTTCCACTATTGTTTCATATGTTTGGTTGAATTATACGTTCACTCTCTTTTCTACTTTACCTCTAGTAATGAACAGTCCTCATGACAAAAAATAGAATCTGATATTTCAGTAACTTCATAGCCTGCCCTTTATTTTCTTTTAAAATTTGGGTTAACAGAAAAAATATAACTCCTACACCCTAAAAACCTAGAACTTTTAATATATTTGTTTGGGTAGTATGTCAGTCTTTATAAACATCATGTAAGTAATGCCAATAAACAAAAATATGGTTATACTATATTGAAATTGAGTTTGGAAGTTTTCTGGTCTATATCATAACAAGTTATGACTGCCTAACATCTCACTTTTCACCACCTAATTTTGGCATTGTATAAACAAGTTTTGGCATTTTTAAAAAGGTATAGCGTTTTAAAACAATAGCAAATTATTGCAAATTTCTTCTTGATGTTTGCTATTAATACCCATTAACATCAATAAGAGTAACAAGGTTGTACCCAGGACAAAAATACCAATCTACTCTGTATCTTTAGAAACAAGTGGAAACTTAGGAAAGGCATTTTAATATACTAGCGTGTGGAATTTTTTGTGCTGCTCTCTCACAAAGTGAAATGCAATTATAAATCAGAAACAGCTTTTGAAAATAAGTATGATAATTAAGGTTTCTAAAGGCAATTCTAAACTTGTCACTCAATGGAAATATTTCTACCTTAAAAAAACAGTAATGCCTTACAAGTAAATTCTTCTTGAGGAAAGCAAACACTTTAAAATTCAAAACAATTTTGTATTTTACCCTTAAGTGTAAAAATAAATTTTTCACTAAGGAATAGAAAAAATTAAGCATATTTAAATAACTTTATTTCACTGGAAGTTGCCAATTGGTCTGTGAGTAGTTTCACTGCAGATGAAAAGAAATCAAAATACAGGACAGATGTTGAAGAAACCGCATTTAAGTTCTGTCACACACTGGCATTTTTCAAATGATTTTGGCTCATCGATTAAAGAAGGTGCATTTTGCTTGATTTTGAAAAGGGAAACATCAGGAAATATTTAAAGGCCAATTGCTGCCAATTAACTTTGATCAGTAAAAGTTCTATTTGAATCTTTCAGATTCTTCTCCTGTCTGAAATAACATACATTTATAAATCTAACAAAACAACAACGTGATGATTAATGCCTGTTGGCAGCCCTACCACAAGCTTGCTTAACGTCGGGATTTAAACAAACAACGGTCTCTATTAAGAAGAGAGTGAAATGTACTTATAGTCATGTTTTCTCATAATGGAGATATGAAAAACAATATTCTCTAGTCTAAAGAATGCTGCTAACCAAGACCATTGTGTTTGTCAGTGCCTGTAACAACTTAGCTAGCCATCTTACAAGAGCCTGCCCTGAAATCATAATGGACCACTAAAATCAACAGCAGTGGGACATAAGCAATCCTGGCAACCCAAACAGCAGAGGCCGGACTAAAACATCTTCCTACCAATTGCATCAGCCAGAAAGTAAAGCACTGGACCTAATACAACAAGAGTCTGACACAACATATGCGGGTATCACGAATTCTACTGGACACATCTTAGCAGTGATTACATAACTGAGAAATATGTAGCTTCTGATAATCAACAAAGTTTAAGATTCTGATATCAAATTTTAATCTTTACTACTGGTCATGTGGGATCTAACTCTGAAAATCAACAGCCAAAGTAAAGCAAAACAGAAATCCCATGAAGGCAAAACACATTGCCATATAATCAATAAAACTCTGTCCCACTATGCCAATTATATATTTAAAAGTAATATCCCATTATTATTTTAAAACCAATCACCTATTTTCGGACATGCAAAAAAGTGTATCAAAAATTAGAACTTACTTCTAAGTCATTAAAAAATAAGTGTGTGTCTGCCAAGTTGAAAATCATTTCTTCCATTCGCAGTCCAAGGGAAACTGAAGTGGGTGGATCCTAAAAGAGAATTTGACAGGTCAAGAACATGTATACTTCAGGTTACATGAAATAGAGTGTCCCGCTAAGAGGGAGCAGGCGCTGCGACAGGCTGAGGGCAGGCATTGCGAGAGCCCGAAAGCAGAGGGAGAGACTTGGGAGACAGCTGCTTATTTTAGTGTGCCTGACTTGTTCTGTGTGCAAACTTCAGAGCCCCAGATATTGTTGGTGGTTTACATATTGAAGAAAACTCATTCCTTACTATTTTAAAATATAAAATCTAGGGTTACTTTGACACATAAAATAAAGGAAATTCAATTTTATATGTCTATTTCAGGACCAAAAAAATCCGTGAATCAAGAAGCCATTGCTTATATTATGCCACAATCCATTAAGAGCATCTAAGTGCACGGCCACAAATATCAGAAAATAGATACCCTACAGCAAGCTTGCCCAGCCTGCAGCCCGCAGGCCTCATGCAGCCCTGTATGGCTTTGAATGCAGCCCAAAACAAATTCATAAACTTTTCTTGAAACATTATGTCTTAAGTGATGTTTCTGTGATTATTTTACAGCTCATCAGCTATTATTAGTGTTAGAGTATTTTATGTGTGGCTCCAAATAATTCTTCTTCTTCCAGTGTGGCCCAGGGAAGCCAAAAGATTGGACAGCTCTGCGCTATAGGTTAATTTTGGAAGGGTAATACATAGTAATTTTACTCTAGATGATAATTCTCTATCATTATTTATATTTATTCAACCTGTCAATTTTAAGTATACTGGAAGGAGGAAGTGATGGCCACTTTGACCACCAGGCACTGTCCAGCTCAGGGAGCTGATCTTGAGATTCACATGACATTGGGCATCAAACAGCCTGTGCCACACTCAGAGGGCAGTGCTACACTCCTCTGTCACAGTGGCTTCTACCTAAAGCTTTGAGTGTTGGACACTAGCTTCTCCCTACAAGCCAGATCCTGATGACATCTACTTGCACTGAAATGAATTTGGGGGATACACAGGTATTTATAGTTTTTATCCCGTATTTACTGTGTATCAAATCCAAGAAGCAACATGGTTCATGGCTGAAGATCCTGTATACTAAGTGAAGAAGGAAAACATTTTCAGGAAGTATACAAACTATGAAATGAGTTTTTGAAGGGTTTACTGGCATTTTATTAATGATACAAAATTTCATATGTATGCCATTTTCAATTTTTCCAAAGAACAGTAATTTCTGATCTACTATTTTATTGTCACAGCAAACCTTTGGAACAAGTACAGAATCTACTTGCAACACCATGTAACAAGGGAGATTGTAAGTAGAGAAACTGCCTTCAGGTAGGCCCCATTGGGCAGGTGTGCCTTCGAGCCTTAGGATCAAGAACATACAATCCAAAGACAAGACTCTCATGATTGAATACTGCCCAACATCAACTTTGTACACTATCTACCTTGTCTCCTGAACACACTAACTTCACCCACGATATCGAGACTTGCCTGTGTGTTACCCCTACTCTTTAACGTCAGTCATGCCTGTGAGTTTCCACCAGGAGTCCCCTCCTCTCACGCACTTTGGGAAGTGGCAAGAAGTGGTGGGAGAGGACACCTAGACTGCAGGACAGACCCTGCCTTTGCTTTCCCACTTAGGTGTCCTCATCTCATGGGGCCTGGTTTGTTCACCTGCTAAATCCGACAGCAAGATGGCAAACACAGTATTCTCACACAGGCTAAGAAAAAACATCTTGTCCTTCATTTGTCAGAATCATATATGTTTGTATAATTAGGAGAGAGCAGGGGCTGGAAAGGGTGGGGGATAGGAGCGGAGCCTCACTGGGCACCTAGCAGGGGCCCATCGGCTGTAGCCCCAAAGCCAACCCAACCCAATCCCGCTATTCTTCCAGCACTGCCCACCCCTAGCACGTCCCACACCCCTCCAGCAGCTCCCAATCTCTTGGCACAGCCCACATCCCTCCAGTACCTCTGGCTCCTAGTGCAGCTCACATTCCTCCAGCCCATCCACCTTCTAGGACTGACCAATCCCTCCGGCCCCTCCCACTCCCAGTACCACCCACATCCCTCCATCACCTCCCATCCCCTTAGCACTGCCCCCACCTCTACTGCTTGGCCCAAGTTCTACCTTCCATCAGCCATAGAGGACTAATAGAGTACTGTATGTGAAATATGGCAGGATGGTGTAATTCACTCACCTCAGTTCCCCTCCTGCCTGTGCCTTTTCTGCCAGCTGACTGAGAGAGGAAAGGAGGCAGAGGACATAGTATTGCCCTCTTAAATTTTGTGTGTGATGATTCATACTCCTTAGCATTCTTAAATTGTCCCTTTTTAATACACCTGAAATCTATGAAGTTTCATAGCTTTTAGAAGAATTAAAAACAGTTTACAAATTACTGTAAAGAAAAACTAACTCATTTCTCTTGGATTTATAAGAAATTGCTCACTCACCAGGAGTTTAAGTGTGCTGGAAAAAGCAAATGTTCAAATAGATCCTACAGCAGAATTAACCTGTAGGGGAAGCTCAAACAGATGTGTCTAAAACAAAACACCTGACTAAGGTGTTTATTCCCTCTAGTTCAGGCCAATAAAAATACCCTGACTTGTCTCATAATCATGTCAATGAATCTTTTTATGTGGCAAAGATGAAGCCTCACCACATTTATTTAATTTCCAATTCTAAAATTTATGTGCCACAGAATTGTTACTTTTGAAAAAGTATTCTTTCTTCTTGATATGGTTGCTTATTTATATGACCACTGAAAAAATTACTCTATTGTTTGTTAATATATAGCATACTTTATCTTTTCTTCATAAATTACCGTAATGACTTGCTAGTCAGAATACTAATAAATTTTAAAGGCTTGTTCAGTCTAGTGGTAAAACACAACACAGATGTTGGTCTTATTTACCTCTTAATGTTTTTCTCTTTTGTTATTAGCTGTTATTCCTCAACCGTTTTATACCTGCCACTCCATGGTATTGTTTTGAAACACCTACTACCCCAAGAGAACAGTGTGGCAGTTAACAGGAATGAGATGATTGTAGAACAGGAGGGGGTTCTAACTGAGAGCAGTGTTTTTCAGACATCTTTGAACCACAATGCATGGTAAAAAAAAAAAAAAAAAAAAAAAAAAAACACATTTAACACTGGAATCTAAGAATCTCTCTCACATGCACACACACACAGCTGAAATGTACGTCTGGCAAAGCAAACGTATATATCCATCGCTGTGTGGATATACTCTGGCACTGACCATTTCACAGCCTGTCCCAATCTACAGTTTGAAAGGCAGAGATCTAGAAAACACCCACTCTTTGATTGTAGAAACAGGAGCCCCAAGTTCCTAGAGGATTGTGATTTGTGTGTGATGACCCAGCAAGCAGAGTGGAAAGCTATCTCACCCTAAGTGTTTTGCCTAAGAGAAAACTAGCAAAAGGACAGATAGATAATTCTGCTCGTGGATTTACTTACATATTCTAGCAACTGGAGTTCTCAGATAAAGGTTAGATTTTATTTTCCTTTATAATAGCTAATACATTCACGTTGTTAAAATTTCTAAACATGTCTCATACAAGTACAAGTCAAAAGTGACAAAAGCTAACACTGAACAGTTCAAACGTTACTCGTGGCTTGATGGCTCATTTTGGAATGTTTAGAACAAGGAAAAAAACATGTTCTGAGACCAAAATTGAGATGTTAAAATCACCATATCTTTGGTTTAATTTTACTTGTTTTTATAATAATTTTCTTGTAATAACAAATTCCAGAGCTGCAGTTATAAAAGGGCTTCTTCTAAAACACCATTTTTTTTGTTATATCACTTTCAAGAAATTATTTAGAGCTTTGCCTCCATTTCAAAGTAACATCTCATTTTAAGTGAATCTCATTGCCAAATGTTCTCATTCTTTTCAAAGTGTGGCCCTTCTGTGACATATGCCACCGCTGTTTACTCTCTTCTTGACATTTATCCTCTATGATAGTGTTCTTTTATGGGCATCTTCCTGGAATCTATGTATACATCATCTGCTTGTTAAATGACTGTATTAGTTCATTCTCATGCTGCTAATAAAGACATACCCAAGACTGGGTAATTTACAAAGAAAAGAGGTTTAACGGACTCACAGTTCAGCAAAGCTGGGAGGCCTCAGGAAACCTACAATCATGGCAGAAGGGGAACCAAACACATCCTTCTTCACATGGTAGCAGAAAGGAGAAGTGAAGAGCAAATGCCGAGAAAAGTTCCTTGCAACACCATCAGATCTCATGAGAACTATCATGAGAATAGCATGGAGGTAATCGCCCCCATGATTCAATTATTTCTCACTGGGTCCCTACCATGACACATGGGAATTATGGAAGCTACAATTCAAGATGAGATTTGGGTGGGGACACAGGCAAACATATCAATGACATTTTGGTTCCTAGGACTTTATTCTTATCCTTCCATCCCTCATTCTATTCACATCACCTTGTGGACTCCACCACCCACTCCCTTCTTTCAGATCTTAGATCTCAGCTGGAGGCTCCTATATCAATTACCTATTGGTTATTTCTACTTAGAAGTCCCATAAAAGCAATGTCAGTATGCAGAAATAAGGGTTAAAAAGAATAAAGCAGTGGACACCACTACAGACCCTGCAGATGCTGAAAGATAATAAGGGATACAAATACATTCATATGTACGTGAAAACTTAGACAAAATGGACCCAATACGAAGTAGATAATTTGAATAACCCTGTACCTATTAAAGAAATTGGATAAAAAATGTAAAAAAATTCCTAACAACAACAACAACAAAAAAGAAGTCCCATAAAGCACCTGAAACTCAATGTGTGGTACGTTGGATTTATCACATTTCCTCTGGAAACCTACTGTATTCATTCTTTAGAAGAATGGCATCCTACCAACCCAGACCTTAGCATTCTCTTAGCCATCTCTTTTTAGCCCCACATTGAATTAATTACAACATCCTGCCACTTGGACCAGGAATTCCAGCCTCCCTATTGTCAT